CTTTGGGTTGAGTTTCCTTCAAAGCAACAGAAGATAGCGTTTTATGCTACTCTCTGTACTGCATGTCACTAGTTAACTTACTTACTTTTTTTTTTTTACGTGTGGAAATGCCCTCGGACCGTCACCCCGCCGGGGTTTTCTGTTCGGCGGGGCGGTGTGTCAGACTCGAACCGACTAAAACCACACGGTGTGCCCTCTTTGCGCTTCTATTTTAGGGGGGGTCCAGGTAGTTATCTCCTTCTGGACCCCTCCCAGCGCCAGCCCGCTCCTGGTGCGGGCCCCTTCTCTAACTTACTTACACTACCGCAACGTTAAGAATAGCGGTTTATCGTCGCGTTCTAGATATAATCTGTCACAGATTGCCTTGACCTAACTGGGACGACCTCGTTAACAATACAATAAGAAGCTAGAAAGAAAACTTGAACGATAAATATAATTTTACCTGTAAATGACGTAACAGTCTGTAACAAAGAAGCGAAACGTATAAGCTGTAAGTACGTGCTCTTCATAGGTAATACCTAATTGTTACTTAATGTCTTTGCTTAGCTAATACAACGCCATGCTTAAAGACATGTGACAGATCTAGGGATGTCGACGTACATAAAAGAAAAAATAAATTGATTTTTCTAGTAGTGCAGTTAAATATCAAAACTAGAAGTTTTTTTGATATTTAGCTACTAATATAATTACTATTTACACACTGTAAAGACAGTAACATCGTGTCAACCAATGGTGTAGCGAACAAAGACCGAGGTGATAAAGCTTATGCTAGGATTTTTCATTAAACCTGAACATTTGATCTGATGACTGAATCTGTGTTTTATTGAATATTTTACTACCTTCTATATTATTCAGTATAACAGAATAATTTAGTAATTCTCTGTCGTATATTTTCAGACGACGGAATATCGGGTAATTCCACAGTTTATGGTCAGCATCCACGGTTGTGTTACCGTGGCCGCATAAATCTGCGATGAAGTCATCTCACGCGGTGGTCACTTAGGGGCCGGCGGAGAGGTTCCGGAAGTTAGAGCCAGTAGCCGACTGCACGGATATCGTAGTGGTTAAAGAGGTCGCCACGCCGCTCACTACTTACGGCAACACTTTGTGTGATCCACAAATAGTTGTTCTGAGTGTTCCTTGTGTCCGTTTCATGTACGTTTGTAAAGTACCCCGGAATATATTCCTGTGTCGCGGACACAGGAATATATTCCTAATGCGGGAGCTGTCTTTAAAAAAAAGAACCAAGTGTGCAGAAGACGGGTTATATGTTCTCCACCCACAGCAGAGTCTCCCATGAAGGGGTCCCACGATCTAGCACTGAGTGAACCATTGAGGACAAAATCTTATAGCATCGATGGCTGCGTGATGTACCGGTGTTTTAATTAAATCCGACATACGGCCTCTTTCGTTAGCCCCGACACGTCTGACAAGAAGATTTTCTCATACATCACAAATATCAATTACCTTATTGGAGTCCTCTGCTCTCATTTATATCATTTATGGTCCATCGTCTTCCGCACACAGTCTATCCCATTTACTTTCTTTTATACACAAGTGATTAAGCTCTAAGAACCCGAATACTAAACTACCCACATTTTAGACCTCCTCAAGTTGACAACCCTAGATAAATTCAAATGTACAATATGTGTAAGTGTAAGGTACACAATCTAGCATCACGTTTTAATTTACGTGAATAATAGAAAAGGAAAAGCTTTGTAGGAAACAAAACAAAGAATGTGGCATGAAAATCATTAATCGGACTAGCACGTCGGCACCAAGCCAAAGGCAGCCATTGAAGTCATATTGAGAAATAAACCTATATCAATATTAATTTTAACAAACGCAGGATGCTCAGTTCCGTTAGTTAATCATTTCAATAATATTCGCGCCCACACAGTGGGCGGTGCTGCGTTCAGTAGTATTCGGTTGTGCACGTGGCATAAAAACGTGATCTGCGCTTACGCTCTTGAACTAGACGCAACGCCCTCAACTAATGACGTTGCTAAGCGCCTGGCTCTTTGCCCTTCGACAAAGTAAATAAATGCTTTAGTTATTATTGTTCTTCATGTCAGTGGCATTACTTACTTTGTTTAATATAAAAAATGGTACTCATAATATAATAATGGGCATATCTGCCTCTTTATACATTGATCTGGTTATTAATAATTACAATAAGTCGATTGTGTTTGTTTCATTCTCTGTATTCATCCCGTGGGTGTCAACATCACTGCAAAGAGTAAGACTTGAAACGAACCCTATACCAAACCGTCTGGTCAGCGTGGTATAGTAGGGCAAAACGTACTTTTTAAGGAGAGCCTTTAATAGTCCACTACTGGATATAGGTGTCCAGTAGTAGACTATTAAAGTCTGTTAATGATAATGTCTATAGCTTAGAATAAATATTAAATAAGCTACAAACTGATCGCTCCGGAAAACAATAGTGAACGTTTAGTATGCGTATTGAAGACTTCCTCGGTCTTGAAATCGTTTACAAATGTATTTACAATATAATAAATACTTACATGTTGCTTGCTTATGACATTACTGGCAATCTAAATCACACTTTCTTGTCCTGACCTGAGAAGACTCTACATACAATCATATAAATTATTACCGAACTGTTTAATCAATGTACTTTCAAAAGAGAAAAAAAACTCTAAAGAAATTAAAACTAGTAACGCAGAATAATTGTGAAACAATAATAATTTGCAAATGTAGGTCTGAAGAAACTAGTTATTTACAATTCATGCACATATAAAACTATAATAACATAGGTACTTACTGGAATAACATATGGAAACCTGATCTGGTATTTCGTTTGACGTGTACACAGGTCGTATGTACTTCTAAAACAGGGTGTCAATTCTTTAAAACGTTTTAGATGCCTCGTGTTGTACGTTACGCTTAAAGATACTTAAACCTTTTTAAATTGATGCAACCATGATATGGCCTGTAACTTCAATATATAATTTACAAAAAACCCTAATGATTAATGAAGATTTTTAATCACAAACTGCACTGAAGTATAAAGATCCCAATAACAGGCTATGATAGATTGTGATGCACCAGTCAAAGTCGATACCTACATGAAAATTTTAATATACAAGTATTCAAAACATTTTAATATTCAGTTTCATCTTAACATATTATTTGCTGATCAATGTTACAACGTGTAAAACCAACATTTTACACGTGACGTCCAGTTAGTTCTAAATACATGTTTATACATGTGTGCATTAAAATAATATCTAATGATTTTGAGGAAGGAGCAATTATTCTATGCGTTTACATATAACGGTGTCAGTTTTTTTTTTATCGAATTTTAGGAGTGTCGTAGGCGAAAATGAGTTAATGTTGCTTAAAAATCATATGTTGAAAACTTGTTTTATTCAATAACAAATTCAATGACGTTCATGTTTATTTTTATACATTATATATTTTTTTATTCTTGAAAATGGCTCCACTGGTAAGGATTTATTTTATAATATAATAATAATACCTTTACATATCTCCGTCACGGCCGTCTGATCCCAAACTAGGCAGACCCTGTACTACCTATATATGTTGAAATACATACATATTATAGATAAATTACACCCAGACACAAAACAAATGATCATGTTGATCACACAATATTTGTCCTGGGTGGGGATCAAACCCACGACCGCCGGATAGCAATCAGGATCACTAGAAAAAAAAAGACCAACAGCCCGTAATCTTTAAGTATAAGAAGGTGTATTTTCAAAAAATACTATTTTCCTAATAACAAACAATTACCGATCGTTCTACCTACTCGATCGTTCTGCTAGGTACCTATATACTCGTAATGAATTTGACTATAGTTTTAACCTTCATAACTTTCGTGTATTTAAAGTCGATCTTTATTTCCACGTCTAAAACGACACAATTGTATATAATTAAATTATAAAATTTATTCTAACATTTTCAGTATAGATTACTAACAGATACTCATTTAGTATTTAAAACTTTTTTGAATTTTCGTTAAATGTTAATATTACTTCAACCGATATTTTGTCTAGAAATCATATCATCATAGTGAATTTTCTATGCGTTATATAGTAAAGATGTAGGGATCATGGCTTAAACTCATGTAAGCTAGCGGTTGTCCGTCTATTTATATTCTCTGCAGGAAATATTTTTTTAATCCATTATGATAAAATTCTTTCTTGGAGAGACTTTTTTCCAGATCTTTATTAGGAGAAATGGACGTCCTAATGAAGATCTGAAAAAAAGCTCTTGATAAGTAGAATCTTTAGGAGATAGCGGACCTTAATAATAACCATGTTCGGTGTTTTTTTTAATAATAAACATTCACAACGAAACAAAGTTATCCAAACAAATCCATTAACAAAAACCTCTGAATTCTTTTCTTCCTCTTCGAAGGATTAAAAACTGAAATCCTTTAGATCAATTGCTACGAAGCAAAAAATAAGTATGACCCTCCATTATAATGATCGTACCTCTTAATTCATTTTTTAAATTTGCAATAATTATACTTGGAACTTGGAATGCATGTTCATGAAAATCGTGAATAGATACATCACCAAATTTAAAATAAGTGACATCTAGCGATAACTAGACAAACCAATATTTTTATCTATTTCATACTAGATGGGACCCTATTCTCATAAACTTTTCAATTTGAAAAAAATACGTTTAATTTCAATATGAGACATTTAACCTAAGGAAAAATATTTTAGACAATTAACTATACTAAGGACATTAAAGTTTAAATGCAAATGCATGGTTCTTTGGTGTTTTTAAAAATGTTTTTACTTTGGCATTCTATTTTATCTGTAGGCTTTAGATATAGAATTTTGTTATTTTGTATGACAGAATTATTGACAGAAAACATATGTTTGAAAAGACAATGTATGACTGATAATTCATTGTAAATATTTCAAAATATTGTGATTACAGGCTGAAGAACAGTGATTTATTAAATAAAAATACACTTAGAATAATTATAAAATAAAATGAAAGCATTAATACAGCGTGTTATGAATGCTAAAGTCACTGGTAAGCTAAATACATTTTAGGTTATACTAAATAGTGACTTTACTAAGATCATTTTTTGGGAAAATACAGCGCCCTTCCAAACTATCCCTACCAATGTATGCGTACTGATCGGTCTATGCCATGCTAAGGATATCTGGAAATGATGTTCATATATATAAATTTGTCTCTACTAACAAGATATACTATTACAAAAAAACTGGCTGCAGTTGGCATCTAAGCTGATTAAAAATAAAGCTATTTCTTTTTAATTAACACACAATGCACACTGAAAATTACACTCTTCTATAATAGGGATATTTAAAAACAGGTGAAATAGAGTGCATGGTAATATACATTTTTCTATGCAACTTGCAAACCCTCCCCTCAAAAATATATTTGCAGATATTTTTTAATAAAAGTAAATTTTTAATGAAATGCGTTACGGAAATGAACATTTTTTTTTACAAATTTAAAATTAATACTGTTACTTTGTCTTGCTTACAGTTAACGGTGAGGTTATAAGTAGTATTGAACAAGGTATTTGTGTATTTATTGGTATATGTGCCAATGACACTAAAAAGGACATGGAATACATGTAAGTTTAAATATTATCTAAATGGGTTATTTATTTGACATCTTTCAATTTCATATTTCTTCTTAACAACCACTAATAACTGAATTTTTATGTTTTCAGTGTTCGCAAAATATTAAATATAAAGTTGTTTGATGATGAATCTAATAAGAGATGGAAGAAAAGTATTGTTGATAAACAATTAGAAGTATTATGTGTCAGCCAGTTTACTTTGTACAATACTTGGAAGGTGTGTCTTTAGTACCTAATTTCAGAGAATGCTAATAGTATACCTTTGTGAAATTTCAGCTGTACTCTCTATTTAAAACTGATTTTGCTACATTTCTGATCTAATATTTTTAATTATTTGTAAATGAATGTACATTTACATAAACAAGAATGTTAATCAGCAGTCTGGTTACCATGGCACAGGCTCTGCCTAGTTTGGAATCAGATGGCAGTGTGGGAGATATGTGAAGTTATTATTTTTATTATTCTCTTTTTTCCTTAAATATAAATTACATTTATAAATATATTTATTATTCATCCGAAAAAAACATTAAGAAATTACAAAGCAGGATTTTAAGTACAATTGATAACATTTCCTAAAAGGCCAGCAACATGTTTGTGACTTCTGAGTTGCAGACGTTCATGGGCGGCGATAGTCACTTTCCATCAGGTGACCCGTCTGCTCGTCTGCCCTCTCTAACATAAAAAAATAAATAAAAAAAATACGAATATATAAGTAGAATTGTACATTTTTGATGCAGTCACTGGATAGGGCTTTTTAGGAATCACTCAGTAGTACTATGCACACACATTATACATACATGAATAGGTATAGCAGAGTTAACTTAGTACACTTGACACTATGTATAAATTGACACTAAATATGGCCGTCCAGTGCCCTACTTATGTTGAAATTTTTTACAAGGTAATAATATGTTCAATAAACACTATTTGTTTCAGGGCAATAAACCTGATTTCCACCATGCAATGCCTGGAGATAAATCAAAAGAATTTTATGAAAATTTTCTTCAATTATTGAAAGATTCTTACTTACCAGAAAAAATCAAAGGTAATTATTAATTTATTATTTTATGATTAATTTCATTTTATTATTTAAAAAATGTCAATGTCTCTAAGTTCATATCCGTTTTACTACTTGTCTTATTTGTCCTATGAAGCTAGGATACAGAATTAATATGAATATTATTTTAAAATAATAAACAAAGTGATTAATTTATTGTCCACCAGTTAACTACAAAACAACTTAATACTAGATGAGATAAGTACAATGGGCGGCGTTATCGCTCAGAGGCAATTTCCTACAGTCAACCATTTTATTTTATAATAATCATAATAAGTCGACGAAATGAACCTTAAAAAAATACTTTTGTTTTACTACCTATAAATGTTAATGTGATTATAGTGCCATCTATAAACTTCATTAGTTATGTTTAGTTCGTCTACACATCGCTAGATGTCTTGCTTTTTTTTTGTTGAATGGGTGGAAAATCCCTTTGGATATCCTGCTCCTTGGGGTCTCAGGGAGCAGGAGATAAATAATTTTCTAATAACCTACCTTGATATTCTGTTATTACAAATTAACATCTTTAACATTATTTCAGATGGTCAATTTGCAGCCTATATGCAGGTGAGTATTCAAAACGACGGGCCTGTCACATTTGAGATAGAATCTCCAGCGGATTTACCCAGTAAAGAAAGAACGCGCAACAACGAGTCTCAAACCATCAGAAAGAGTGCAATAAACTAAAAGGAGACGTTGATAGGATAGATCTAAGTAATTAATACCTGTTGTAGTAAAATTTAATAAATTGTAAAGTTATATGTATTTTTACTACTTCGTCTTGGCCACTTAAATTTATGTCAGAAGCCTAGTAGTCTGAATTCAAGCGCGGTCGTCTCTTTTTGGGGATGAAGAAAGAAATGGTCGTCCTTGGACGGCTGTTACCGAGGAAAACGAGCTAACAGTGAAAATGTTAATTCAAGAAAACAAACGAATTACATACGTAGAGATTCATATATTGCAGATTGGATCGGAAAACGTTCACAAGATTCTACATTAGCACATCCACGTGAGAAGGATAGTTTCGCGCTGGGTGCCGCACAACCTCACCGCCGGTTATTTTTGTTGCCTCATTTTTCCATAGCCATCTCGAAAAGACCAACTGGCTCAATAGTTTTATTCATTCATTCATTTATTTATCTCAGCCGAAAGACGTTCACTGCTGGACATAAGCCTCCCCCAAGGTTCGCCACAGCAGCCGGTCCTGTGCAGCCCGCATCCAAAGGCTTTCCGCGGCCTTCACCAGGTCGTCGGACCATATATACCAGTGTAGATAATAAAACTCATTGTAACGTTCTTAGTGAAGTGTGTGAACATTAATGTACACAAAAATTCATTAGCGTTTCTTTTTAATGATGTTTAAGCATCATTAAAAAGTAACTGGGCCGTTTATTAATAAAAGTGATTAAAATAAAACGCTTTAAAGTATTAATAAAAAAACTTTATTTTGAAATGATGGTTATTATCTATTAACATTAGTTACATTTAGGCCAGTGATTATGCAATTCCGTATTAGGTTAGAACATTTATACAAAGATGATATGCCTACGCTAAGTCTAAGGGATTGTTACATCTACAACACCTTACCTCATAGGCAGATGTTAACAGATAATCTACCAAAATATCAAAACCGTTTTACTTTAAGTCTAAACGAGTAGAAAATAAACTAAGTAAAAATAAAACTCGTATAAAAAGTTAAAATAAAATAAATGCATTCTATAAATCCCTCTATTTAAATATGTAATTCAACAAATGAGATTAGTGACCCTTATTTAGTGTCGAAATATTAAATGTTAAAGTTAATTTTTACTTGTATCAATTACCTCAAGTGCCATATGATTACTATTTCTATACCGCGAAATATAGATATATAATCAATAATCTTCATGCGTTCGTGTAATGCCTACACTACAATTCTTACAGAATTTCTCATTAACTTTCAAGGCACTATTCAATTTGGTATATTGCTGATACGTTTCCTCACTCCTAATTCACAATATCAATGGGATAACAAAGTACAAGTGAAAGATTATTAGTTAAAGTTCTTAAGATAAATCAACGTACAACATTCCCATCATAATGATGGCCGCCAGGTATGTTAGTTGTCGCGTCCTCCAGCAACCCATTATGATTGTCATGTTCTACGCCGGGAATCTATCCACTTTACAATAGGTATCTATAGAATATTACTATTACAAAAATATCTATAATCTATTCTAAATTATTCAAACGAAACTGTTACTGGGATAGGCTAAGGATTTAATTAACAACATATACCCTTCCAATGGACGTTGATATTTACGTGCAAAATGGCGTTAGGTACTAGAATTTGCCAAAACTACCCAAAATTTAGTTGATTAACGAAATGGTAAAGTGAAATAAATGCATTTTTTTTGTTTCTTTAAAACCGTCGGTTCATTCGATGTGCTTACACTTTGCACTCAGGCTCAATAATCTCGACAACATAAAATAAATAGTCATTTGCGACGAGTTAGTTTAACTGAGTTATCAATATCGTTTGAAACGACGGTTTCGAAGGGTTAGATCTGCGCATGCCAGTGTGTTGCAGCGACTGTTGTAGCTGGTCTCTCGCCGCTTGATTGATGTGGGTGTAGGTGGGTCGAAGTAGCGTGGTATCTACCAGAGCCCGGAGGAATAGCCACCGGGCGGCACGCGGCTGTTGTGGTGGTTCATGAGGCTTGCACCATTTACTGACGTCACCGTGTTGATCTGGCCGTTCATTGATTTGTAGCCGTCTCCGGTAATTGGGTTACCTTCTGAAAACACCATACACATTTCTTAATATATTACTTGATGGACAGTGTGGATCCTAGGTACTTTCTAAATGGAGATACTCAAAAGTGAATATTACCCAGAAACTACTATATAAAATCTATAATCTGGTTTAGAGTTCTCATGCAACAATATGTGAAGTACCTAACTACAGGTTCTTACAGAAATATAAACTGTAGTGAAAATATGGTTAGATTTATTTAAATACAGCTGTAGACAGTTGACGAAAGCTATTTTGAAAACTCTAGTCTACCTACGCAACAGTAAAAGCTACTAAGAAAATACCTAATAATTCAGAAAGATACAACCCAAGGATAGAAAAAGATGTGCAGAAGTCATATTTCGATAAGGTTTATATATGCATACAATGCAATATAGATAAGTACACTTTATTACAATACAACAACATTACAAAGCAGGGAACAATTTTCAAAATTATTTTACAATTGAGATGCAAAACCTATATTAAAGAAAGAATTACTATTTAAGGACACTTCAAAATTTGTCTTAAAGATCACATTTGCAGCATTCTACACACTTATTTAGTACTGTTCAAAAGTCACAAGATTGATTTGCGAATGTATTTACTAGTGTTGTTAATTTTTTTCAAGGGAATTAATTATAATATTTTAATGGTTTAGCCCTACTTAACCTGCACAAAAATATGCGGTCCAATCAATGAAATTCAAAATTATTTGATAAATAACTTAGCAAGGTAAAATGACTAATTCTTAATTATTGAGATATTTTTCGATACTTCTTTACGTATAGGCTTGTTTGTACTTAGAACATACATATGTATATAATTACTGTATTGTCAATTCAATTACCAAATAACTTTATCAAAATTGTCCCCCATACGATACATTAAAAAGCTCTATTCGATTATTTATATATCTAACATCTGCTTTGCTATAAGAAAGTTCAAGCTACACCCTAGTAGCAAACAATAAAATGCAATGGGTGCTCAATTTTTAAAAGGATACGAAGTCATCGTATTACTATGTTTTTATACAGCAAAATAAAATAAGCTATACCAATGAAATTTACTCAGATATTGTAAACGTCCCTCATACGACTGAGTACAGTATAACTTCATCAAAATTATTTCCATAAGCAACGGCATACGAGATTGGGAATTAAAGGTGTGTGTTTTCTATAACACCTTTAAAAGTTTAGGCAGATCACCTATATTTGTGCTTTAGGCACACGAATTGAATGCCGTGGACACAGACCAAAGGATCGTGCTCATCACTCAACATTTGTCCTGGGTAAGAATCGAACCCACGACTTCTGTCCAACAGTCCCGCAACTTATACGAGACTATGTTACCAGAAAAATGTACGTCAATTTGTTTTTAAATGACCGTCTTTGGTAATTTATTTGTAAATTAATCTTAGATCTGACATGCCGTATATAAAAAAAACTGTCCGCGTTTATGGATCTATAAGAAAACTTCACTGGGTGAAATTTGGTGCAGTCATAACAGCATTCCTTCAGTTTAAACTGAGCACCCACCCATTTCTCTTCGGCGAACATAGTCTACAAAGTACGTCTTAGGTTTGAAGTCTTCAGCATGCCGATTACGGTCAAAAAGGTAGCCAGGAACGTGTTTGTGAAATATAGGAGGGAAACCGGTCAGAGTATTAGGACCAGGCGCTAGAGGTGTCTGTATTGGCATCACATCAGGAATAGGGCCATCGCGCTCGTATTTAAAAAGAGTAGGCGGAGGATCTGTATGCGCTATCAGAAACGGATCAATTGGGCCTCCCAATGCAGCTACTGAGTCGTACTTATAATCTGGCTTGGGTCTTTCACCAAGAGCAGAGTGCATTCCCACGAACGCATAAGGGGGCAAGGGATGATATGTATTTTTTGGTTCTTTTGGTTCTAAATAATGTTGAGCTGGAAATGGTGGCCAGTGCTTGTCCAAAACTGGTTGTGGGGAGAACGAATCAGGATCTATAATATGTTGAGCATTGTTTAGATCATCGGTTTCTAAACCAAGAAGAGTGTACGGTGTCTGTCTGGTGCGTGTACTAGGCTTGGTAGCAGATTCTACATAGTAATCAGCTGGTTTGGGAGGCCAGTCTTTTGTGATGTATCTATGAGTGGGCTGCGGTTCCAGGAGTTTATGGTAAGGATCGTCGGGGTATTGGTCGGCACCTCGCAGGCTGGCGGCAGGGTGGCGGCGACGAGGCAGCGACAGGGCCACTCCATCGCCTGTCACTGGATTCCTCTTCGGTGGAGTGTATGAAGCTGACCATTTACAGAACAAACTGTTTTCATTCGAGCTACGATACTACATGGGGCCTAACAATCCTATTTTTTTCTTTTATATCATAAATGTATAATCTAAATTGTAAATCACACCTAGATAAATTGTATTAATCCTTATGACTAAGAATAAGTAAAGGTGTTAGCTGGACAGACACTTATATTGAGTGAAATATAACGATATTATTATTATTTCATAATTATTATTTCATAAACGTGTTAAAAAATATGTAGGTGTGGATTTTGTGAACTTAATGTTAATGAATATTTCTTGTCACTTATGCGATCAAATAAAATGGTGTTTAAAATGCTACATTTTATTGTAAGCTTGCAACCCTGTGCAAAGTGGTTTGATATTTTTTTTGTTTTTCTGCGATAAAAGGAGGTAGTTCTGTTGGGTGAAATTGGTAGTCAAAGATAAGCATTTTTTTATTATTTTAAGAAAAGCTTTTGCACAAACCACGGAAAAATTATTGGTCATTAATGGTTTCAGAAGTAAAGGTCATGGATTTACCAATTTGTTCTCTATGTATGCTATATTTATTGTTGTTTATTTCTTTATACAAAAAAATATTTTTTTTTTTGCCTAATTAACTATCATTTCCATAAAATCACAAAGTATTGTTAACATTTTTTTTAATAGAGAGACTACAGTGTGTTCTGTGTGTCAATGATTATTACTATGAGTAATTGTCAGTTCAAATTCAGCAAACGTTGTTAATATCGTGAGTTCACAAGTGGCATATAATATTAATAATATATTGTTACATAAATAGTTAATATAAGCAATTTCTTCCTATCGTGCATGTGTGCTAAATGATTGGTATTAAGTTTGGTTGCTAATCAATGACAGAAATGCACATATGCATAGAAAAAACTATTGTTATATCCATTGTTATTTCCAAACGATGTTACACATTTGAACGTGGAATGGAACAAGAAATAGATTTTTGAATCAAACTTTCCTACGCGATACATTCTTTTATGACTTTCCAGTTCGATTGAATCTGACAGCTATGCAATTATTTCTTAATAAATGTACATAGACAAACATTTCTCAATTAACGACCGTAAAATTCTTGAGAATAACGGTTGTGATATTCAAATAGTTGGAGAAAATTAGAGAATAATTATGGACGAATAGACAATTTATATCTTTTTTAACTAATGGAGACGACGCGACGTATCTACAGCTACCATAATTGTCATTACAACGCTGGTTTATTTGATAGAATTATTAAACGAAGTAACTAGGTATTTATGTTTTATCAATTTTTATGTGACCTTATTTTGAATAATTTATGAAAATTAAAAAATATATATATCTGCATCAAGTAACTATGCTAGCCAACTCGAACCTTTAGTATATCTGACTGCTGAGAAAGAAAGGTTTCGGGCAGTTTTACATATATTAGGAAGAATCAGGCATGGCATTACAAGCAAGTTTTCGGAATATTATTTCATATCTCTATGTTTCAATTACGAAATTGACCAAATGATCCCAGAAACTTTCGATTTCCATTTCACATCCAAACGCATGATTTTTCTACGGAACCGTGTTCATTCCCTCAGAGTGAGTTAGACGTGCTCTCTCGTGCCTACATCTGAATCGACTCACAGTGTCCAGCGAGGGCCGGCTCACCTCGGCTGGGAGTAGAAGTGGCGCTCCCGTTGGCCATCTTGGACGGTGAGTTTGTCGGAGAACCACCGTTCATCTCGCTATCGCCGAAGTGAATGTTGCTGCGAATCGTATCAGTTACCATCGGAGAGACATGGTTGTTGGCGGCCTGAAACACATTATTGACACATTTGACTTCAAGAAATGATCTCTGAAATTCGATGACATAGGCATTTAAAATTCCAAAAAGTACTGTTTTATCTATACTATAGTCCATTCGCGTTAAGAAAATAGTGACGCCACTAACAAGTCAGGTTCCAAGAAATTATCGTTTGGTACGAAAGCTTAGACCAATGAGCAAAAAAAATATACATGAAAGAAAGGGATGTACTATGTGGTTATTGTACATACTCGTATTTGACCAAAAAGCCTGGAGTGAGTGTCACGGGGACGGGTCGGCGTGTCACGCACTACACGGGGCTTGGCCGCACCGTTCTTCACTGGGCTTCCATCCACTTGATCCGCGTTAAAGATCTCGGCAATGCAGCTCTTAGGGGCGTTCGGCACCCTGTGGACAAAAAGGCATTTTGTTTATTTGATGCAGCTTTCAAAGGAACCCCAGGAGGTTAACCAACTAAGTGCTAAGGCTGAGACTTTAGTGTAATACTTTTGTATCTATTTAATTAATTTCACTTGTTCAATTGTACGAGTAGCGAGTTCAATTCAAATATACGATTGTCTCTGGGTAATCAGTGACGTCTTATAAGCATTAAAATCGCGTACTTTGTATGCAAGTTCGCTTATATATCTAGACATTAAGTATATTTAGTATGTAAATAATCACTACAAGATTTCTTATTAGGATAACGGTGGTATAGAGCAATCAGCGGTTCATTTCCATTGAGGTAACATAGAACTTTGATTTTAATTCATTTTGTTGAGAATCAATTTACTGCGACCCACAGAAATGCTGAAACATTCAATTTCAACATTCATATATTTTATTGACTTTTAAAGTAATACCAAAATTAAAATAAGAGTTCGTCAATATCATTAATGCATTATATCTTGTTACCATAATATATTTTAGTCCACGTTAATAGAAATTTAATATGAACGAACGCAACAATATTGATATAAATAATTGCCCAACTGGACAGGGGATGGACAAACCTGCTGCTACCTGGTTAGGGGAACCGTTTCCGGTGTAAAGGGGACCGCTGTAATTTCCTGACCAAAACGCAATAGGCATATTGGGGTCGATAGAAATATTGACTTTAATGTGTTTACTTTATAATATTTCATAACTATGTCTTAAATGCATTTATAAATTAACTTCTTAAGTAAATGTTTCTTTTCGCTTCTATGTCGAAGTACGATGGATAATGCTCTGCTAAACAACAAACTCACAAAACAGTGCTAGGTTTACATATTTAATTAACATACTGGATAGATATCAACCTGCGCTAAAATTGATTTGATATTCTTTTCTCAAGGCATAGTTCCCTTTAAGAGTTTGAAATAGTACGATAACCCTTAAATGTGGATAAAAATAAAATTTCAACATAAACGGATCCCCATTTGAAAAGTAGGAGAGTAATAATAATATTAATAAACGCGAGAAAATGTACACTCTGATAACGTAAGCAAAACCTTTGGTCACTTAATACCCACTACGGTTAAGAGTTTTCGACGGAGAAATGTAATCCACCATACAAAACTTTTACTTTTTTGAAATATCTCGAGTTTTTATAGAACCACATTTTGTCAGCTTTATTATAGCTTTATTTTGTATCATTAAAATTAGCCCGTCTCGTTACGACAATTATTTAACTGTTATGTTTACAATAACGTCAAGTATAAAGTGAAACTTGTAATTTGTTTATTACAGGTTAAGTTGCTAATTTAAAAGTACTCGTATGTATGTTAAAACATACTTTTACTTCGGTCCTGTAGCTGCATTATTTGCCAGCAAATATACTCAGATACTGGGTTAAAAATTGTTTTACCGCATCTTAAACGTCATTATGTTTTATTGGTGTAAAAACCATATTTAATTGTTTACAAAATGAAGAATTCTTCATTTCTAAAGAAAAACATTTATTAATTGTATCACTAAAAGTCTTGGTATCCCTAATAATATGGGATAATAAGATTATCATAATTTAATTAATTTTAAATTAATTAATTTTTAAATTATTTTTTTCACACGTATAAAATTCTATTTGATCATTTTAAATTGTATTCGATGTTTAAACTATAAATACTGTGTTCTATAGTTTTATTTATTAAACATAAAATAACTAAAATATTATAAGGTAAATATGATTTAATAAAAATGATAGATTAAAATTTTGAAAGCATGAACCAGGGACTTAAAAGTTACCGTTCCAAGTAAAACACACATAATGGATTTTCAGCAAAAAGCCTATCAGTTCCACCAAGAAAATAAAATCACAATGTAATAAGCAAGAAGGAGAGTGAAGCCACACCCAATAATATAGGATTTCCATTAATATAACTACAGGGTAAACAGCCGATGAGACATTAAGTCACAATATAATAGCTACTAGGCTGCCACCCGTCATTTCACTAGCCATAAGGCGATGCATTGAGAGACTAAACATTAATACCTACTATCCTAAACACAGACCTTACACCACGTAGACTATGTAGGCCTTAGGGTTGTCAATAGTACGGGTTTTCTAAAATTCGTTACAAAATTACGATATCTATATGAGTTACAATCTAGTGACATTCGACATTCATATGTCGGTAGATATTCTTTTAATCCACCCTCCTACTTATTGTCATTGATATCAATTTTATTACAATATTAAAATTAAAATTTAATAAAGCCTTAGAAGTGTCGTGACACTCATGACGTGTCAAATATTACTCATAATAACTTCGGCTACTCGTTAGCCCACTCCGACAGTGTTTCTTTACCGAAATACTAATAGAACTTAAATCGTAGCCTTCATCATGTTCCGACCTAGTGGGCAAAAGTACTGGTGAATACAACATCAGACCGGTTGTATATCGTATAGCGGGCCCTACTTTATCTAGTGCATTAAGAATGTATAGCTCAAGGCGAAACACACGTCGGAGCGCGTGCCGCCCGCAGGCTAAAGCCAATTGCTTACATTACACATCATCACAAACCATGCGATCTATACGCCCTACCAACTGATAGTTCTCTGATTGAATATAGCTTGCATTTGCCCGGCAAGTGACATACGAGTAGATATAGATCAGGTACGTATGCAAATTATTTATTGAAATGGAATATTTTTAAGCAAGCAAATGCATTGAAAATCTCGTAACATATAGTAGGTGGTTTTTATTCCTTAGTTAATTTTTAATATTATTTTGGACCTGATAAAATACTATGAGGTAGTGGAAGGTGGAATCAATCTCGACCTAGGTTAAAGTAATGCCTCAAGAGGTCTCAATAGTCTCTCAGTGCAAATCCTAACATAGCTCTGAGTTAAAGTCTCTTCCTAGTAAAGTTTTATAACTATTATTAGCTAATGCAGATATCAGATATCGAAAGCACAACTGACTGCAAAGCTGGCATTCTACTGAATAATTCTTAAATTATAGTATTCATAAATAACATTCATCTAATATAACAGTACATAAATACGTGTTTATAATTATAAATATTTAAACAAACCAAGCATCTCTATAATTAGCCGGTAAGAAAGTGCGTGAGAGAAAATTGTTTAATTGTGATATACGTAGCTCGTTTGGCAGCGCTTGCGCAGCATGCAAGAACAAGAAAGATGGTGGAGAACGTACTGTTACTAAAATAAACACTTGTCACGGAGTTTGTAGAGAAAACTATCATAGTAATAATATATTTTATTGTACTGACATCAATATGAAAGTACCCTTTAGTTTTGAACTACCTACGAAATATTAAAATGCAGACAGACACCAATCTAACTTTCCTCTAAAAGTAAGTCATAAATATTTAAAACCATTTTCTTTTTAAAATATAAATATATTTCAACAAAATTTGTACAAAATATACTATTCTTTATTGTACAACATATGCAATACCTAACAGTTCTCGATAGTCCAGTGTAGGTCTGATCGCAGAATATGAGCAATTAATACTGAACCCGTATAATAAACTGGCAGATGTAGGAAATGTTGTGATAGCGTCGTTGGTTTAACGAACCATTCTGAATTCAACAGGGTGGAAGAATTCAAATGTTGTTGGCCGTTTAATGAGTTTACGCCTCTGCAAGCGGTTTTGCTCTATAAACGACGGTGTTATGAGAGCGAGCTAATGATATCTTCTGTAATGAGAGGCTAAGCTAACTTTATCGTTTACGGAACGCGCGAGAAACTGCTCTTGGTTTTCAAATGAAAGGTAATACCTATGACATTGTTGAATAACAATTGTGCACTTTCACGTCATAAAATGTGAAATATATTCTACTAGCTGGGTCCGCGCGTTACCCGCAGTTTATCACTACACTACATTTTTTCGGGAGCAATGTGTTAATCCAGGATTTCAGCTACCTCCATACCAAATTGTATCAAAATTAGTCCAGCCGTTTGGGCGTGATAAAATACCAACCATACAATCAGACACACAAACTTTCCCCTTTATAATATTAGTGTGATTATTACTGTATGGTAAACATTAAAAAACACTCAATTCTGTTACTATTAGTCGCATACAAACTGTTATAGGCTAAATATAATTAAATGATAATATAATTGTGTGCTCGTAGGTACTCTCTGACGTTTATTAACACGCCATGTAAAAACTAGCTCAATTAATTCTCAATTTAAAATCAATTGTAGGTTACAGTGAAAGACAGCCTTTATCCACCAAGTCAAGTGAATAAAAAATGGAGTCATTTGAATTGGTAATTTTTGCGACGTATGCCCCAATAAGTGTCTAAGGTTTAGGCAATAGGTATTGATTGTTTTTTACACGCACTTCTTTTAGGTCTAAATTCTAGCTAGAAACGTGATAAGTACTTGTTAGAGGTAGGATTACTGCAATAATATAACAATACCTTGATTCCCAAAAAGGGAATATGGGCAACATTTACATATTTAAAAAAATGGGTGGTAAAATTTTCATAATCTGGACTTTTGCACAGACGTACATGCACACATTAAATAAATAGCAAAAAAGTTACAGTTCTTTAACGATAAGATATCACATTAAGACATATTTAGTCAGGTCTACGAACAAGCTTTTTCAGTCTCAGATGTTATCAGGGTACAATTCATACAGAAAACGACATGGTGTTCCTGAGTAATGGAAGGCCGCGGACAAACGTCAGTAAAGTATAAAATTTATCTTGTAGCAATTAACAGTCAATTCTAAATCTTACTACAAAACATTTTAGAAATAATAAGCAAACTTGAATTACATTTTTTTTTAAGATTTATATGTTGAGTCTTGAAGACGACATACGCAACCCGTCTAAAAGATATAGACAAGTTTAGATAGCGTGAACATGTCCGCACAACAGCCATTTGAATGTATCAGGGGTGTTAACAGTGGATTTACGGTTTCTTGTTATCAGTTCCGCA